TGATCTTGTCCGCTCGTGCTGCAGCCATCCGTGAAACGCGCTGACGTACGATTCGTGGCTCGTCACTAAAGACTGCTGCAGTCTCAGGGGGTTGGCTTCTCTCATTCCGTTCAGTTTGGGGGAGATTTGCTTGACGAGGTTGGTCACCACCACCATCCTCGTAAGGAGCCTGTTGAGGGCCGTGTGGTTCCCGTTGCCGGCGTCGATGTGCATGCCGAGCACTCTGATTATTCGGACGTGCGGAATGGTGGTGGTGTCTTCGGTCTGAAGCGCAATCTTGGTCACCTCCGCTTCTACGAACTCGCACCAGGGTCCGGGTGGTGGATGTATTAGTAGATCTGGTTTCTGCGGGGAGCATTTGAGCCACGTTCTGCGCAGACAGTCTTCAATCTGCTTGATCGCCTCTTGGACCGATTCCTTCGTGCGTCCGGTCGTGCCTCCGGTCATCCACGGGGTGACGTCGTCGGAGTAGATTGTGTGCCATACGTGTGGTAGTCGAGCAAGGCTTTCAGCCAACGGTATCATGACGGTGTTGAACAGAAAAGGGAAGATGACGGCCCCTTGTGATGTGCCAATGCAGCCCTACTTTCGCTCCTCTAGTTGCTGGTGTTCGACGCAGAAGCACGTCGCTTGGTCCGAGAGGAAAGCTCAAATGTAATTGTACGTCCGCTCGCCCAGTCTGAGTCTCGCCATCTGGGCCAGGATTGCCGAGTGTCTCACGTTATCAAAGGCGCCCTTTAAGTCGAGGCCCAGGAATGCCCTGCAGTCGGTCTTGCTGGGGAACTCGAGCAGGTCTCATTGAATGAGCAGCATCGCGTCCAGCATGCTCAGCTGGCTCCGAAATTTTAGCATCGTCGCCGAAAACGTGTTGCTGTCTTCCATGTACCGTTGCCAGCGGTTGTACAGTACGTGCTCGAGTACCTTGCATGCGCACGACGTGAGGGAGTTAGGGCGGAGATTCTCGATGCCGGGCAGCTTGTTCGGCTTGGGGATCAGTGTCGTGCGGGTGGTATGGTATGACATGATTGTACGGCGAACACGAGTGACAGACCATAAGATGAAAATTATGATATGCGTGTCATGTAAATAAAGTGGCATCTTCTTTTCTGGCTGCTGGTGGCTTGCGTACAATTACCACCCTTCAGGAATCTGTAGGTGGATTGCGTGAAGAAATTAAAGAATGTCGAATGGTTCCAAAAATGTGTGAACAGGCGCGGTTCCCAAAATGTGTGAACAAATTGCTAGGGGAAACCCACCATGGTGGTCAAGTAATTACGCTGACAGCTGAGTCCAAGGTTCCAAGATAAACCCTAGCCGCGGCCGCTGAATCATGGTGTGGGCGAACATGTTTGATGACCTTGTAGTCTGACTTAGTGTCACGCTAAGAAAACTTCATGTCATCAAAGTTGGTGAAGTGCAACCCCAAATAATACTTAGTTTCCTCAGCAACGCCTGGTTTCTCAGTCATGCTACAGCCATCGCTATAGAAAAATTCAATATTGTGAGGAGAGCCGTGCTTCCGACTGCTCCAACTCTAGCTACATGACCCACTATCTTATTAGGGTAATGATGATCAGCGAAAGCTGCATAAAGCAACACTTCGGCTTTAATTTGTACCTCCCAGTGAATGGTAATGGGCATAATATATGCGTGATATATTTTGTCTCTTAGTTGGTACTACATGGCACATGGCACGTCATGCTTCCAAGCAACAAGTGTACTGGTCGCCTTTGGGGAGTGATGGGTAGTGACTTGAGGAGTGATAAAGCTACCAAACGCAGAAAAACACTTAAACGACTTGCGTCTTCGATCTTAACAAAAAGAAAACACTAATTGTGGTTACCGAAGCCAGCGCATACGATAGCGCACATTCACGTGCAAAAAATGGCAGCATATCCACGGAGTGAATGATGGAGAGTGGGGTGAAGCATTCGTCCGTCAATGCGTCCGTCTGTGTAAACGTCCATGCGTCTGTTCGTGCGTCCGTCCCTGTGTTCGTTCATGCATCCGCCCCTGCGTCCTTTCATGCGTCCATCCATGCATCTGTCTGTGTGTCCGTTCGTCTATCTATTCAACACTCCAAGTCCCCCCATCTCGCATCTTTTTATCATATAGTCCCTATATAGAAGCACCGCCATTCAGTGGACATTCCAAGGACTAAACGAGAGGTGGCACACGCACACTTTCTCACGGCTTGCGCTTCGGGTCTACTTCCCACCTTCAACCTCCTTGAGTTCATGGTATATACTAGTTCACTGTATTCATGGCGCTGCGGCCCAATGCTCGCTAAACCTTTCGAAAACCAAGGAGGTTACGCCCAGCGAGTATGACGTAGCAAAGTTTTTCAGTCATATAGTGCTCAATGTAAATGGCAATGGCTGCTAATGGGAAATGAGAGGCGGAGAATTCGGCTTTTACTTTCTTACGGCTTGCGCTTCGTATCTACTTCCCATTTTGAACCACCTCGAGTTCATTCATGGTATATGCTAGTTCATTGTATTCATGGCCCTGCGGCTCAAGCTTGCTAAACCATTCTAAAACTAAGGAGGTTACACCCAGCGAGTATAATGTAGCAACCCTTTCTTGTCCGATAGTGCTCAATGTACATGCCGATGGCTGCTATTGGGGATCGCAGCGTGCGCATTGACTAAAAGCCGAATGCTCCTGTCTCTCATTCCCCATTAGCAGCCATTGGCATGTACATTGAGCACTAGGTTTTATTGGTACACAACGCACAGAAGAAATCTCTCACCGGCACCACCTTGGAGGTCCAATGTTATACCTATTTCGGGTATGTGGCACTGGTGGTTACGTGCTACGAGGGACGCACAAGCCACGCCATAAGGTGCTTCGCCCCTAAAACTTGCTTACATCTCACGCTGATGATGCGCTCGCGGTGATTTCGCTACCTTCACGTATGCCGAATTTGGCATTATGTGACGTCAATATATGACGAAGGTATGTTACAGGTGCAAACATGTTAATCATGAGATTCGTGTCGTGTGAAAACATGACTGCTTGCCACAATCAAGGCGTCAAACATTGTGACGTGCCGTGTTGCGCATGCTTGCCGGCGTTCTATTCGTTGCATCACGCCGGCATTGCCACGCCAGGCGCCGGTCCTGCCTTATACTCACAGGTGCGTGGCCCGCTGCGTCGTTTTGACGCATGCGCGTTTCAGTGCGCACGGCATCCCTCCGTCACGAAAAAAGGCAGACGCAGAGCAGTCTGGGTAACGCATCAGCGCGACATGCAGCCCGTCACACTTTGCACTGGTTGCCATCAGGTCGTGGCGATGAACGCTGGTCGCGCGGGTCGCGCCTTGTGTGAGAATACAAAGTTCTCGCGTTTTGCTAACGTGTAGCGTCACTGTGTAGAGTGCGCATGCGTCAACGTCATGCTGGAGTACATTGAACCTTTATTTATGCACTCACGGCTGTTTGGCTAGCTACACATATACCTAATCTTGTGGTTACTCACGTTAATAGATGACGTAGGTATGTCAATGGTGCAAACGTGATAAGTGACACGCGTGTCATGCAAGAACGTGGCAGCTGACAACGTACCACGTTCATAGCGTGCCCACGGTTCTTTCACTAGCTTCACATATACTAAATTAGGCACAACGTGACGTAAATAGATGACGAAGACAAACGACACATCCAAACATTATAATCATAACACGGAAGTCATGTACGTCATAATTTACCTCCACCTCGTAACGTCGTGTTGATATAAAATCGACGTATTAACCTTCCTCCTTCGTGCTTCGCATATCATCGATTTCTGCTATACATGGAATCTGCCAATTTTTTATTCGCCGTGGTTAACAGCGCGAAACACCCGGACAGGAGCGATAGAAGGACACGGTACAGCGCTGACTTTCAACTGAAATTTTTATTGAAAACACGAGAATATATATATAGACAGAACAGAAGACCTCGTGACCAAACCAGCCCCCTCAATCGATAAAATTATACACGGCGACAAGGCTTTGTCATGTGCACGCAATCTTGCCACAAAAATAACACATACTTCAAACTATAAGATTCCAATGTCGCCAAGAAAACCGGGCATGAGCAGACGAATGAACTTTAGCCACTATCTAACAAAGATAATTCATTACCAAGTAAGGCGATAGACGGCTGGCTAACGCATTGAGACCCTTTCTTATTTATAAAAAATGCCTCCATAATTTCTCTTGAAAGCTTGTCTGGGTGCTTGAAGAGTACTTTTGTTTTTTCAAAAAGTGGGTGGCATCCACATTCGCGGCAATGCAAAGACAAATGTGAATGCGCAAATCCTTTCAAGGAACTGTGGTGTTCCCTTAGCCGTATATTGACACAACGCCCGGTCTGACCAATGTACTCTCGCCCGCATGAAAATGGGGTTGAGTACACGACATTCTGCATGCACGGGAGAAACTTCATAGTATGTTTGATACTACACTGCCGATAAATTCCAGTCTTCCTGCCTTCTATGCGAGTGTTTACTGCCTGGCAAAGTCCCTTAAGCTTCGTTCTGCTTGAAAACCCAACGTTTAATCTGAACTTAGATGCTACTTTCTTTAATCTGTGCGAAAAAGAATGAACATATGGAATGTAGACAGAACGGCTAAAATCTTTGTCTTTCACTCGGGAGGACTGCCCCTTGACCTCACGCAGCAGCTTATCGCAAGTCGTAGAAATGATAGAGTGAGGAAAGCCTGCATCACGCAGCCTCGCCACCTGATAGTTAACGCTGTCAAGCATACGATGGGGACAACTCATCCCCATCGTATGCTTGACAGCGGGAGGTATGCTTGACAGCGGGAGGTTATTCGCGCTGTTAACCACGATGAATGCTCACCAACTAGCCCAGTTTTCCATTTTTATTCGCCTTATAGTCTGTCTATTTTCCTACAAAAGATGCGCAGCCTTGTGGCTCAGGCAAACCCTAATATTTAAAAAGAACCAAGTTTTTATCGCCAAAGGTGTTCACTACGGTGTTTGTCGTTACAGCTTCTAAAGAGATGGCTTTGGAGTCCTCCTTTTGCACAGGTGAGCTTCCCAGCGATGTTCTATCTACATACAAGGGGCTAAAACCAAGCCTCTTCAGAGTAATCTGAATGGACGGCGCTACAGAAACTTGTAGCTTTTATTTTAGCAGTAGATGTGCTCTATATTGATGTTTGCTTAGCAACGTAAGTAAAATACGTCGGTTATTCCTGCGTCCTAGGGCTCTCTACAACACGAAAACTAATTCTTTCATCAGACGGATGGCTGAGCGCTAAATGTACATTGTTGCGCCAAGCACAAGATTGAAGCAACTAGAATATTAAAAATTGGGCGGACCACATGCAGCATGCGTTCCTAAATGAGGAATAATAGGATGCCACTACCTTTCAAGAGGGAGGTGGATAACAGTAAACTTTTACTGATACTTACCCGTGGAAGAGAAACTCTGACGATTACAAGGAGCGCTCAACTTATTTGAAAGACGAAGCAGCGAGAAAAGAACAGGTTAATCTCAGGTGTAAACCTAAGAAACAATAATAGAGCATAGTGTATCAAGGAACGATTGGGTGTTAAGGACACAATAGTTGAAATCAAGATGAAGAAATGGTCATAGGCAGGACACGTAACGCAAAGCAATATAACCGATAGGGTGCACAACAGGCAAAAAACGCTGAAAAAACTTGAACCATCTCCAGCTAAAGAAAACCATGTGAAGATGCGAAACAGCGGGCGCTTGCGCTTACACGGGGGGGAAACATTGACACTAGCGCTTATCGAGCAAAAGCCATGTAAAGATACCCTTGAATGATTCCAAACGCACGATTCAGTATCTACAATACAGGGTTGCCAGTAAAAGGTTCAGCCCGCGGAAAAGTCGGTTTTTTACTAGCTGACGCTGCCTGCGTCGGCCCTGGGAGGCAAGGGAGGGGAAGGAGAGCGACCGTGTAGCTGGTGTCGTCCTGGGCCGGGGGACCGCCAGAAGGCGCCTAGCTGTGAAGACATGTTCACACTGCGCTCCGCTTTCTCGAAGCTTTTCTAAGAGCGATTTCGCGCAACTCATCTAACAATCTGATAGTCTGCTTTGCGAAGTTCTGATTCCACGGATACCCAAATCTTGGTCCAGGATCAACTTTACGAGAAGAAACCATCGCAGGCAGATTGAATGACCTTGTGGAGACGCTCACCTTAACGCAACAGCCGGCATCGCGCGTCCCGGAAGGCACTGCGACGTGCGGTACACGGCGGTGTTGTGTGTTTGTGGGAGCACAGACCAGCAGATAGTGAACTTTGGACACTTGCTTTGCTGCCACGGGACAAAAATAAATGGTGAGCAATTTTACCTCACTTTTTTGACCTGTTTTGTGAGACGACAAAATGCCGGCGGTAGAGCTCTGTCAGCCTAAGTGCTCAGACTAACTTGGCAGGAGCGGCGGTCACTTTTCCTTTATTCTGCCAAGCATGCCTGGCCGGGGCTGATCGCCTTTTCTCGCCATATGGAAGTTGACGAAGCTTATCCCGGCCCTTCTGGGGCACCGAAAGCACTCACCGCTGATACGGACGCGAGTGGCGTCTCGTCTCGGCAAGCAAAGGATGACGAACCAGCGTCTGTTGACGCGACTCTCAGAAACGAGACTGGCGACGTGACTTGTTCGAAACGCCGTGGATAGACTGAGGATGCCATGCATACCGTTTTATCTCGCAGGCAAAAGAAAACCTTTTAAAAAACCAGCAATCCTAGATAGAGAAGGCTGTGAAAGCGAACGAAAAATTTGAAAGTGATTCACCCGCCGAAAAACAAAAACGTGAAGCCACGCGGGGTTTCAGACAAAGAAAGCGACGCAGCCCACCTCCCCTACCGAAAGAGGACATCAAGATTATTTTGAGGCCGCATAAGTGTCTCTGGCTTAAAAACATATTGGGACTGGAACTCTCCAGGGCTGTGATAGATTCCTGCCAAGGAAGTTTCAATGGCAATGACTTTCTGTTGCGGGTTCACCCAGCATCGAACATTGTAATCCTATCTTCGCTAAACATGGAGGTAGCGAGTAAGCTGCGAGGTTTCAGTGAACTAAAGATCAGGGGACAAAGCCACGCTTTCAATGCATACGTGGCTGACCCCGAAGACGTCTTACGGGGAATCTTACATGGAATACCGGCCGGGACTTCGCAAGATGAACTAATGGAGAACCTACTTGTTCGGACTCAAGGGGTCATTATTGAGAGAGCAAGAATGTTGGACTCATCTAAAACGGCGATTATCAGATGCACGGGCAATGTGCTACCAAGGAGCGTATACATAATGGGTGCCGTGTTAATATGGTACCCATACAAGCCAACAGTACAAGTGTGCAAGATATGCCTCCAAAACGGACCCCGTACGGACGCCTGTCCAACTCCAAATGTCCAGGTATGCCTCAGGTGCGGGGCAAGAGAACCAATGCAAGGACACGACTGAATCCCCGAATGTGTCATCTGTGACGGTGAACACCCCACAGGATATAGCCTGGCAAGAAAAAACTTAGGAACGTCGCTCCTCCCAAAAAATTGAGGGCAGGTCAGCCAAAAGACTGGGTTAGCGAACCTGAATGTACCGGCGATGCCAAGTCGTCCGAAGAATTCCCTCCACTAAGGCTGGACATGACTCGATGGTTCAGCTCGGACCGGCAGGAACAACGCCAGTCAAGGTCAGGTTCACGATCCCGATCGAGATGCCAGTCAAGGTCGCGATCGAGATCTTGTTCAAGGAGGGACAGGCAACATCACACTAACACGACACCTCCGGCCCCTGGAAAATCCAGCCTAAAGAAACAACGAAACATCGTGGACCTCCGGCCGAGATGGGTTCCATCGAGGAATCACAAGACGCCCTAGCCACCAGCCGGACAAACATATATCAGGTGAGCTTTGCGGGGGCAGTGTCTTCCAATGCTCCAATAACAGAAAATCTACAATACAATAAAATATTTTAAGAAAATAAGAGATTGACTCAAGAGGTCAAACAGTTAAAAAAAAGAAATGGACGATGAGCGAAATAACTTACAGGCAGCAATATCTTTCTTAGAGAGACGGCTAGAGGCTAAACTACGACCACAAAACCCGCAAAGAATAGCTGGAGGATCTAGTCACAAATCGACATATCAACAGTCAATAAAACCCACCCTTTCGGGGGTCAGCGCGGCGTCGGCTGAAGTTGAGGAAGGGATGGTGTACGCAGGTACAACCACCCTTACGCCAAGCACGACAGTAAAAAACCATGACCAAAGAACACAGCAACTACAGGCGCAGTTAGACAAAAACAGGGAAGATGTAGCTAACGTTAATAAACTGCTAGGCTATTTCATGAATGAGAAAAAATCTTTCGTCGGCGAGGAATTAAAAACTCAAAGGCAGTACGTGAATGACGCTGTGAGCTGCTTGCAAAGGGCGATAAACAAGCGCTCTCCTTCGACCTCTGCAAGAAATAGCAAACAATCTAACGGTAATCGCGACGATGCGGAAGAACCTATGCATCGTGGTCAAAAATAACCAGAGAGGTGTGAAAGAATTAGAGATCTGGCAGTGGCATTGCCGCACTTTTCACAAACGCGCAGCAGCACTCCAGAGTTATATCAATGTGAAAGCAAATAAACCCCACGTTATATGATTGCAAGAAATCGGTGCCAAAATAGTGAAGCTTCAGGATTATTATGTTTTAAGAACCCAAATTATCCCCGTGTAGTGACGCTGGTGAGCGAGATGATTGCGGCAACAGATGAGTACATAGGAACGCTAGAGATCAATCACCAAATTACCAGTTTATTCCCCCAAAAAAGAGTCAAAGCGAAGACTATAATAGTGAACCTATACAGTTCTCCAAAGGACAAAGGCGAAGACTTCAATGAGCTGCTTGCTGAGACAGTTAAAATCGCAGGCAACAAGGACCGCCTATTGATATTCGGTGATTTTAATGCACCCAGCACTTCATGGGGTTACCCGAAAGATTCGCCGAAGGGAACGCGTCTCGAAAATGCTGCGTCTAGGCTGGGCCTGAGTTTATTAACTCTCCTAATCGCGTTCACGCGAGTGGGCAACGGCGTATGTAGAGACAATTTCCCGGATCTCACTTTAACTTTCAAACTCAAAGACGCATCCTGGACAAACCTGGAGGAAAATCTAGGAAGCGATCATTACATTATAGGCGTCTTCATAACGACACCCAAAACGCGCAGATTGAAGGCGATGTGGCGATCACAGATTGGGCTGAGTTTCAGAAACGAGATCCTCCACCCGACAGTGTACAGAACTCAATAGAGGCATGGTCGGAGTACATAAAAACGGTACACGCCATCACTATGAAGAAAATAGCCAGAACCGTACAGACGCCAGCAGTAGACAGCCATCTGCAACAAATATTGGAGAGCAGGCGCAGCTTACTAAAGCGTTGGAAACGTCAACGCCTGAATAGGACACTACTGCGTAGGATCGCTGCTCTTACAGAGAAAGCAAACAACTATGCAAGCAAATTGGCTACCGAGGGTTGGGTCAAGTTCTGCAGTTCGCTTCAGAACACACTGAGCACCGCGAAAACTTGGTCCATCTTAAGAAATATTCTTGATTCAGACAAGTCCAAAGCCACGACAAGCAGAACACTGCAGAAAATCGCAGAAACATTTCCGGGCACGGACGACAAACTCGTGAAAGCTCTCAAGGAGAGATATATTGGCGATAGTCCACCAAATGATTCGGCTAATCACATGAGTTACAGCGGAGCTAGAAATGAGAAACTAGACGAGCCGATAACAAAAGAGGAGGTTTTTGCGGCAGCTCAGGCAGCCAAGAGGAACACAGCCCCCGGTGAAGACCAAATTATGAATGCAATGATAAGAAACCTTAGCGATAAAGACATCGAAGGAATGACAAAACAATTCAATGAACACTATTGGCTCAAAGGAATGTCCCTGCAAAATGAAAAACGGCTAAAATTATAACCATTGCGAAACCCGTAATAGAGCCCTCCATGCAGGCGCTCAGAGGTATATCACTTACGTCACGTATGGGAAAGC